GGAACATGCTGCCAGGGGAGGTGGTAAAAGCAGATATGATAGCAAAGTGTAAGAGGCAATTTTAAGACACCTGAATAGGCAGGGAATACAGGGATACAGACCCTTTACAGGCAGATGAGATTACTTTGGAACGGATTCATGGTTGGCACAGACATGATGGACCAAAGGGCCTGTTCCTGTGCTGTACTGTTTTACATCCTTATGTTAATAGAATTCCCCTGCTCTTTTTCAAATGAACATAGTGCAATCCAACCAAGGGGATAGGCAAGACCTCGGTTTAACAACTCATTTTAAGAAGAGGACCTCCAATAGTGCTGCACTCCCTCACTACGGCTCGTGTGGTGCCAGAGTCTCTGGAGTGGGGCTCTTGTTGTTGGATGCGTGCATCAGAATGCATCCTGACTTGGAAATACATCGGCCACATCTTCAGTGTCACTAGGTCAAAACTCTGGAACTCTCTCCCTTGCGCACTGCGGGTGTCTCTATACCATGCAGACTGCAGCGGCTCAAGGTGGCAGCTCACCACCACCTTCTCACAGATTTAAGGTGATCGGTAGAAGAATTAGAAGGGACACGAGGAAAGGCTTTTACACCCAGAGGGTGCTGCCCAGTTTACTGGTTAAGGCAGGAACCATCAAATCATTACAAGGAACTTGGCTCTACACCTGAACTGTCGTAACCTGCAAGGCTACAGACTTGGTGCTGAAAGACTGGATTAGAACAGGTAGCAACTTTTATTTTGGCTGACAGAGACTCCCTCCCCACCCCTATCTGCCTTTCCTAGGGACCGCTCTCTCTGAAACTCCCTCATTCGATCCACACTCCCCACTAACCCCACCACACCTGGCACCTTTCCCTGAAACCGCAGGAAGTGCTAAACTTGCCCCTACACCTCCCTCTTCACCTCCATTCAAGGCAAAAACAAACCTTCGACATCAGACATGGGTTCACCTGCACATCTGTCAACTTGGTCTACTGTATCCTTTGCTCCCGATGTGGCCTCCTCTACACTGGTGAGACCAAGCATAGACTTGGAGACCATTTTATAGAGCATCTGCATTCTGTACGCGACAAATGACAACACCTTCCGGTCGCCAACCATTTTAACTCCCCCTCCCACTCCCTGGGGGACATGTCCATCCTGGGCCTCCTCCAGTGTCACAATGACACCACCCGCAAACCGGAGGAGCAACATCTCATATTTTGCCTCGGGAGCCTACAGCCCGATGGCCTAAACATGGAATTCATTAGTTTTAAAATCTCCTCACCCCCAGCCTCATCCCATTTCCAACCCTCCCTCACATCCCCGCCTCCTTGACTTGACACAATCTGTCCATCTTCTCTCCCACCTATCCACCCTACCCTTCCCACTGATTAATCCCCACCATTCCCTACATGCACTCACCTATCCCACCTACATTCCCCAGCCCCACCCCCTCCTCTCTCTATTTATTTCCCAGCTCCCTTCCCTCTCCCCATTTCTGAAGAAGGGTCCCAAACCGAAATGTCAACTTTCCTGCTCCTCTGACGCTGCCTGGCCTGTGTTCCTCCAGCTCCACGCTGTTGTCATACCACCATGCTTGGTGTCTGAATGTGACTAAACATCATCTGGACTCCATGGAATCGCTGAGTCTACTTTCCAAGAATCCAGATGATTTTGAATCATGCTCAAAAGCCCTAGATACCAGCCAAAATGTGGCATAGCCAATTCAGAAAGTAAATGCCTCTGACAAATAAATCCAGCTGCACTCAATCATCCAGCACAGAAACAGACCCTTCGATCCAACCAGTCCATGCCACCCAAAATCCCAAATCAAACTAGTCCCACCTGCCTGCACTTGGCTCATATCCCTCCAAACTTTTCTTATTCATGTACTTACCCATATGTTTTTTAAACATTCTAACTGTGACCGCATCCACCACTTCCTCTGGAAGTTCATTCTACATACAAACCACTTTTTAAAAAAATTGCCCCTCATGCCTTTGTTTTAAATCTTTTCCCTCTCACCTTAAAAATATGCCCTGTAGTCTTGGAACTCCCCCACCCTAAAAAAAAGACACCTGCCATTCACCTTATCTATACCCCTCATGATTTTATAAAGCTCTATAAGGTCACCCTTTAACCTCCGATACTCCAGTGACAAAAAAAGGAATCTCAGCCTATTCAGCCTCTCCCCATAACTCAAACCTCCCCCATTCCTGGCAACATCCTGGTAAATCTCTGTTGAACCCTCTCCTGTTTAATAATATCCTTCCTATAACAGTGACCAGAACTGGACACAATACTCCAGAAGAAACCTCACCAACGTCCTGTACAAACTCAATATAAAGTCCCACTCCTAGACTCAAAGGTCTGAGAAATGAAGGCAAGCCTGCTAAACACCTTAACTACTATATGTGATGTAAACTTCAAAGAATTATGTACCTGAACCCCTCAGTTTCTCTGTTCTACAATATTACCCAAGGCCCTTTTTGTTTTACCTAAATGCAATACCTCACATTTATCCAAATTAAACTCCATCTGCCACTCCTCAGCCCACTGACCCAATTGATCAAGATCTCTTTGTAATCTTAGATAACCTTCTTCACTGTCTACCATACCGCCAATCTTGTGTCATCCATAAACATACTAACTGTGCCTTCTATATTTTCATCCAAATCATTTATATAAATGACGAACAAAAGTGGACCCAGCACCAGTCCCTATGCAACACCGCTGGTCACAGGCCTCTAGTCTGAAAAACAACCCTCAGAAGCTTGCATTAAAAATGGAAACAAATGCTTTTCTCTTCTCTTCGTACAGGCATGGACAAGTACTGAGACTTGGATTCAGCAGCCAGCCATTGCCTGGTACCTGCAGCAAACCACTGTTTTCCACAAGTCAGCCTGTTACAACTATCAGCTAGACAGATCATGAGTTATCTGTCAGACTGCAATGGACCATGATCACATCCTTGTGCCGTGTTTAGAGCCACATTCCCAGTGTGAGTCACTGAGAAGCAAATAGGGCCAGCAGCTCAGAGGAACAAACTTGCTTTTGTACTGAGACTTTCACAATTTCATGGTGTCCATTTTACAGTGGGTACTCTTAAGCACTGTTGAAGGGTGGTCACTGTTGTAATGCAGGGAGGCAAGAGCTGATGACTTCCTTCCTGGTCCACATCTTATCCAACAAAAGCATTTGACAGCACAGGTGACGTGGGCATTGCCGGCTATGCCATCCCAAGTTATTCACGTAACTGTTAATCCGCAAGATGCCTGACATTTCAAATGGTCAAATTAATGTCAATTGCAATGAAAGCACAATTACAGGGACCCTTTTATAAAAAAAATTCACGAAAATACAAAATAACACAAAACGGTCTGAGAAAGAGGACCGAAAAGACTGGCATTGAAAAATTCCACTTTCCCAAGGAGATCTTTATTGGTGTCACCTACTGAAGTGTTAAATGTGGGTCCTGTTCAGCATGTAATCTAGGACACACTGACGTTCTCATTGTAGTAATCATCATCCTCCAGTGGACTAGTGCGCAGCTTGACTACTCCTGTGCATCACCAGCCACATTCTATGCTCTAGAAACTGGAGGTCCTCCAAACACTCACTGCCTGGTGTCTTAACCTCTCAGCAGTCTTGTTCACCCATCATTCCATGTTTACCAACCTAAACAGGTGACCAGTTAAACAGCACCTTGGTTTAAAAAAAAAATCTCAGCTTTGTTTCCATCTCTCCGTGGCCGTGTCCCTCCCTATTGGTGTAATCTCCTCCATCCCCGAGATAGCTGAACTGTTCCAATTCTAGCCTGAGTATCTCCAATTTTAATCACTTCAGGTGACTTGATTACAAGCTATAAAATTCATTCCTGACTCCTCTCTATCTTTAACATTCTCCTCAAAACCAACCTCTTCAACTAAGCTTTTGGGCCATCCACCTCACTATGTGGCTGGAAGTTGATGGGTGGGGCCAGTATTTCTTGCCCATCCCCAACTGCCCCTTGAGAAGATGGTGGTTAGTTGTCATCTTGAACTGCTTCAGTCCATGTGATATGGAGACATCTATGGTGCTGTTAGGGAGGGAACGCCAGAATTTTGTCCCAGCAACACTGAAGAAACAGCGATACATCTCCAAATCAGGATGGTGAACGTCACGCAGGGGAACTTACAGGGGGTGTTATCACCATGATTCTGCTGCCTTTGTCCTTCTAGATGGTAGTGGGTTTGAACAGTTCGACATTTAACACCACACCATCCCTGATTTATGCTGAGTGCGTCCTAATGGTGTCAATTTTATCGCAGCACAAAACCTCCAAATAGAACTTTGGTTTCCATGCCGTTGTCTTCTTCCTTCCTTCTTCCCTCTTTCTCTTTCTGTCCTGCATTTCAAACCAGGACAGATCTATCATGTTTCCACAGAACCAGGCCTACAAAGTCTGTCTTGCATATTGCCTCAGGTTTTGGCCTTGTTAACCCAAAGGCTGCCTACCACTCCAGCAATCCCACCCCCAATATATTTGAACTCCCAAACCCACAGCTCTTTATCTGCAATTTGTACAATCAGTACGAGGCCTTGATACCTGCCTACTGTCTCTTTAAAGTGTGCACCTCTGATTTCAGAGTCCAAATTGCTCTTGTAGATTGAAACAAAAGTGGCCTCAGTACTGATTCCGTTGGGATACCATTTCCCACCTCCTGCCAGCCTTTAACCGCTAGGTCTCTGCTTTCTGTTTGCAGACACCTTGCTATCCCATGACTCGACACATTCTGACCTCACTGTGAATCCACTACATACTTTATTGAAGACATCTTGAAAGTTCATCCATATACCACTATGCAGAGACCCCAGATCCTTCCACTTGACCGAAATCAGTTGAAAACTTTATGCATGCTGGGATTGAATGTCAACTTGATAGCACCACTGTCGTTGAGACCAGTCGTTGAGACCAGTCGTTGAGGGTTCAATTCATAGTCAACAGTAGATCAGAAACTCAATTCCTTACACTCACCTTTGTGGTGTCAAAAGCGTCAAATCCCATCACCCTCAACAGCTCAATCTCTTCTTCTGTTTTCCCCTCCATGTCGGCCTCTTTAGGTAAAGAGAAAGCAATGTCTAATTAACAGACAGTATTGCTGAATGAGAATCACAGTGCTAAAGGGAGCTTTATACCAGTGTTAGGATTTAGTAAGGGACAGGCAGATGTGCTCACAATGTAGGGTGTCTCAGTTGCATTGATTTAGCTTGGTCTGTGCTCATCACTTACAGGGAATGTCATCAAATCGGCCAGTTTTCTCTTAATCCTCAGTGTCAATCATTGACTGTTACAAAATTTGAAGTGTTTAACCATCCCAACGAGACTTGGTAATTGGCACAGGTGCTCTGCAGTCTTGTTATGCAATGCCCTCTCCTAATCTTATCCCTCCCACTTACTTTGAAGGCCACCCCCTTACTGAGGTTACTGTCCCATAGGTCCTCCAGGATTTTTGTTTGATTTGTTCAGGTGATGAGGACATCCATAGCTACAGTCAACCACGTTCTAAAGGTCTGGAGGCAGGCCAGGTAAAGATGGCAGATTTCCTTCCCTAAAAGTTATTAGTGAACCAGATGGGTTTCTTACGACCGTGATTACTTGGTCACCATTTGACTGGCTTTTAGAATTATAGGATTGTTCAGCACAGAAACAGTCACTTCGGTCCAACTTGTCCATGCCAACCAGATATCCTCACTTCATCGAGTCCCATTTGCCAACATTTGGCCCATTTCCTTCCTATTCATATACCCATCCAGATGCCTTTTAAATATTGTAATTGTACCAGCCTCCACCACTTTCCATGGCAGTTCATTCCACACATGCACCTCCTTCTGCGTGAAAAAGTTGCCCCTTAGGTCCTTTTTAAATCTTTCCCCTCTCACCATAAACCTACACTGGGTAAAAGACCATGGCTATTCACCCTATCCGTGCCCCTCATGACCTCTACAGGGTCACTCTGCAGCCTCCAACACTCCAGGGGGAATAGCCCCAGCCTATTTAGCCTCTTCCTACGACTTAAAGCCACCAACCCTGGCAACATCCTTGTAAATCTTTACTGAACCCTTTCAAGCTTAACATCTTTCATATAGGAGGGAGACCGGAATTGAATGTAGTATTCCAAAAGTCCTGTACAGCTGCAACATGACCTCCTAACTCCTATAGCCTGACCAATAAAGTCAAGTGTACCAAATGCCTTCTTCACTATCCTGTCTACCTGCAACTCCACTTTCAAGAAGCTATAACCTGCACTCCAAGGTTTCTTTGTTCGGTGACAGTCCCAGGGACCTTATCATTATTTCCTAGATTGTTTTTAATTGCATTCAAATTTTACCATCTACCATGGGATTTGAACCCATGTCCCCCCGAGGATTAGACTGGGGTTCACGATTACTAGTCCAGTGACAGTACTACTGATCACCACCTCCACATCTCACAAAATTAGCCATTACTGCAAGTCCTAAGACAGCTGGCAAGCAATACAGGTGTGGTCTAGCCCAAAGGTGTGCACATCCAGCTGGGTTTATCATTCAGCAGTATAAGGTGACATTCTTTGGTAGCAAGGTAGGGAGATGACAATGGTCCAATTTTAAAGAGTGTGCAGGGACAGAGGGTTCATTGCTGTGCATAGAAACTTCAGGGTGACAGTACAGACTAGGAGAACAGTCAGCAAAACCAAAAAATGAGATCTTGGGTTTCATAAATAGATGTATTCAGGACAAAAGCAGGGAAGTTAACTGAACCTTCATAAAGCACTGGTTAAACAACAGCTAAGAGTTCTGCTTCCAGTTCCAGCTGCCACACTTTAGGAAGGACACGGGGGTCCTTGGGAGAGTGCCGAGGGAGACTGTCTGGAATGGTTCCAGGGATGAAGAATTTTAGACACGGTTTGGTTGGAGAAGCTGGAGGTTGTTCTCCTTGGAGCAAAAGAGATTGAAGGGGGAATTTGAAGTGGCTGTTGTGACAAATGTAGAAAACGTTAACAAAGATAAGGAGGCATACAAATTTAGGGTTCTAGGTGTGTGTGGGGGGGGGGGGGGGGGGGGGGTGGGGGTGGGGGGGGTGGTGGTGGTGTTGGGAAGGAGGCCTTTTCCCACAGCCAGCGGTAATGGACTCAAACTCACTGCCAATAACGACAGTGGAAGTGGAGACAAGTGATTTCAAAAGGACGTACACAGGACTTCAGGGAGAGTGAAAGACTGACTGGATTGCTCTGCAGAGAGCTGGAGCAGATTTGATGGGTCAAATGGCCTCCTTACGTACTGTAAACGACTCTCAAAAGTCTCCAGGAGGAGCCCTGATTGATTTTTCTCTATTGCAGCTCCCTCTGGCATTGCCTTAAACTCAGCTCAACTATGTCAGCACAGGAACTGGAGCAGAACTTGATGTTGGAACCACTGTTATGTAAACCCTACCAGAAATCTTCGTGAATACTTTAAGGTTCACCCACAAAGTCCCACGCGGAAAGGGGAATTTTCCTTTCCAAAAGTTTCCCTTTCCGAGTACAACCTGAAGACCAGCCTACCAATTTCCCCTATCACAGCGATCACTGGCACTAAGATTCCTATCAGGCTCAGCTCCTTTTGCCTGGCAATCTCAAAGTTTCCAAGAGAAACACAATCTTCCTCTCTTGGGTCTGACTGTATCACATGCCCAGCTCCAGCACCAGTGTGTGGAAGCTCCAATGCCAGGCTATTGCGGAGCTGGGCATAAGGGCCCACAAATGTAAAGGGCTGGTGGGCAGAATTAAGTCAATTCAATTGGCAGGCAGGAGCTCACTCAATTACCTGAGATCTCACGATCTTTAGACTCCTGGTCTTTCTGTCTCGAAGGAGAGGCGGAGTTCGACTTGTGTCGTCGTGGAGACCTGCAGCACATAAATAGAGAGGGTGAAATATTGTTTGGCAGCTTGTATGCACATGGGGGCAGTCTAAACACAATAAGGCATGGGTCAGGAGGAAGGTAAAGGCAAATGGACACTGGATATCTGAAAGTTAAAACAAAACGCGCCGGAAGAACTCAGCAGATCTGTCGAGAGAGAAGCAGAGTTAATGTTTCAAGCCCAACATGACTCCTGCGGACATGAGTCACGAGTCTTGAAACATTAATTGCCTTCTCCACAGAGTCAAGCAGAGGCTTTGGAGCTGGTGACCGGATCCTATCACACACACCTTGACCGCCTCCTGTGAGGTGACCTTGAGCGACTCCTCCTGCGCTCGCGGTCTCGCTCTCGGGACCTGGACCTCTCGCGGCGCCTGGCTCGATCCCGCTCCCTGGAAGTCGACCTCGAGCGACGGCGCTCTGTGTGCACGGAGAGAGAGGAATTTTGTTTTGTTTGTCTTTGCAGCCCCAGACAGCGCCCAGTCTTGCCGTCAAAAAGAATTAAGACTTGGACATAAGGCCTGGACTTGGAGATACCCACGTCAGAAAGAGCAGACAGGCTGGTGAGAATGTGCTCCCAGATACATGAACAGAAACACCAGCCAAGCTCATTTCGAACTGTTTATGGGGGTTGGAGGAAATTAACTTTTCTTTCGGGAATGCGTGTCCAGATTCACAGACTGTACTGACATGACAGTGCATCCTTCAGTGGAAAGGGAACTTGCCCTCTTTGTGACAGCCACAACCCTGAATGACTGATCCCAATCCGTGGCCTGGACACAGGTCTGGTCTGTTTGTTTGCCGGATCAAAAGGTGGCTACTCGGCAAAGGAGAAGCCTTCAGCTACAGAAATACAGCAATCATTGCCTGTAGCTGCCTCGGAGAACTCTGCAAGATATTTAATCACTGTCCCTAGTGAAGTCAAACACAGACCGAAGACCGCTGTGCCCTCAAATTAAACACGGAGGCGTAATGGAGGAGCGAGGGGCTGGGAAGTTCAGGAAGTAAATTCTACAGCTCAGCGCCCAGACAGCCGAAAGTATGGCAGAGTGAGGTTACGGATGCCCCGGTGCCTGAACTTCACTACACTGCAATGTTGGAATAAGAAACAGAGACTAACAGGGACAAAACAAAGGTGGCCCTTGAACATGAGGTCAGGAATTTTGAAACACGCCCTGGGATCAATGTAAGCCTGAGAGTACAGGAATATGGGCAAACAGGACTTGGTGCGAGTTAGCAAAGAGATTTTAACGGAGCCCAGGCCTGAAGATAAGGTGCCCACTGCCCACGCTCAGAGACTACTTCCCATGTCTGAATGCAGGCTTTGCCACAAACTAATCTCGGCATCAACCCATCACTTCCCAACAGCGCGTTTCTCACTGATATTACCAGTTGCCATTGTTTGAGGAGACAGATGTGTTTAAATTCAAACAGAATTAACACACAAAGCACAGACACCACAAGGGTATTTTCACTAACTAAAAAGCAGTCCCTAACAAATGAAAGGTTTGGGGGCTGGGATGATACAAAGAGCAGCAGCTCCTCCAAACATCAGGGGTTGATAACAGAAAAGCGAAACACTACAAGCGCCAGGACCCTGGGAACGAAACCAAAGAGGCTGGAAATACTCAGCAGGTCAGGCAGCATCTGTGGAGAGAGAGAAACAGAGTTAACATCTTGTCAGAACTGGAGAAGATGAGGAATGCACCAGGGTTTTAAACAAATACAGAGGTGGGAGATGTGGATTCAGAAGAGCAAACCAGAAGGTCCATGATCAGCAGGACAAGTGGTATGATCAAATGGACGATGGTGTTAGGATGTTTCCTCTGGTAGAAAAATCTCAAACTAGAGGTCCGCTGTCTTAAAATTAGGGGGAGGCCCTTTAAATCAAAATTTTCTGTTTCTCTCAGAGGGTTGAGAGTCTTTGGAACCCTATAGGGTGGTGGTGGCAGGAGGAAAATCTTTGAATATTTCCAAGATAGTGGTAGAGAGATTCTTTATGAGCTGGGTAGCCTGAACGGCTTTTGGAGTCGAGGTTACAACTAGATCAGTTTACTGAATGGTGAAGCAGACTCAAAGGACTACCCCTGCTTCTTGTTCATATATAAGGAGATGGGAATGGGACAAGGGAAGGAAAAAGACGGGTCCAGAGGATGTGTCAATGCAGACAGCAGAACCATTACCAGACACTGCCGAGACTAAGTCAGTCTCCCCCCGGCCTTGTGCCATCAGCTAATGGTAAGTGCTTCACCTTGTTTACCACATCAGAATCTTCTATGTGGCTCTCTTCCCGGTGATCAAGTCAGTCCCTTTCCCCTACCCTCTCCCTAGAGTCTTGCAAGTTTATTTCTCTCAAGCACTGAGACTGTACTCGAGGCAGTATCACTGTATTTGGAAAACTGCAAACGTAACACCCCTGTTCCTGAAAGGACTGGCACAAGAAGCAGGAAACTACAATCCAGCAATCTATCATTGGGACCCAGTCGATGAAATGCACTAGGATTTCCAAAAGCTCACTGCAGAATCGAAGAGTCCATTGTGCAGGGGGCTGCTCTATCAACACGGATAGAGAACTGGCTAACTAACAGGAAACAAAATCAGATAAAAAAAGAATTTTTTGGCGGTTGGAAAACTAACTTTTGGAGCGCCATGGGAATTAGTGCTGTGGCCTAACCTGTTTCTGATCTGTATTAACCAGGACTGATGTTCTTGGATGGTTGGGTACTTGGTAGAGTGGTTGGAAAGGTTGGATAGACAGGGTTGTTTCACTGGAACACAAGAGGCTAAGGAACGACCTGATAGAAATTGTGAATGGAAGGATAGAGTGGAAAGTATGAGGGTTTTTGCCAGGGTGTGGGGGTCAGTTACTAGAGGACACAGGCTCAAGGTGCCGGCGGGGTGGGGGGGGGGGG